AAAAACGGCAAAGATTACTCTTTGTGTCCGCAGCGAACGGCTTGGCCACAGTCTTGAACAGATGTGAAACAAATCTGTTCTTTGTTAGTGTCTCAGTTAGTCATCCTTGGACAACAGGCATTTTGTCACATTTTCAAGATGTTTGCGTCGCCTGTCAGCTTGCAGAAGACCGCCTTGATCTTGACCTTCTTGATGTGATGGTCGTTTGGCTTGACAGCGACCTCGGAGCCTGCAGTCTGTTTGCAGAACGTCTCCGTCAGTGACCTGCTGAAGGCCTCGGTGTCATCGCAAGTCAGATGAATGTCTGAATGTTTTAAACTTTTAATAATTCTCTGAATCGGTGCAATGACCATAAATCTGCATCTGGTATCGTCCCACTGGCTGCTGGTGCTGCGGTGTCAACCGAACCTTCGCCACTGACCGGTGACTCAGTGGACTGAAGGAGGGTTGAAGGTCGTTCTACTTTAACCACCGCCGGTGTCACGCAGCCACTTCCCTGATCTTCTTTATGACAGGACTTGCGTGGTCCCTTTTGCATTTGTGGCGTATCCGCTGCCGGTTGAGCCAGTGCCTAATCTGCCCCATAAAGGTGTTGACTTCGCCTTGTATTTCAAAGTCCACCGTGGGATCCTCTGGCTCTAGGTGTTCAGAAACTAAATCACCGAGCTCTATGGCGGCTGTGTTGTCCTGATCGCCGCCAATAGAGTTGATTATCTCATCAGGGGTCACTTCTTCTGTGGCCGTCTTTAGATCCTCTTCGACATCCACATCGGCATCCTCCTCAGCTCACTCAGAGAAGACTGTTCTTCTGGGCCGCATTTATATTTACAGCTCAGTTTTGCCATTACTGGGGTCGCTACTCGGGACCCCAGTGGGACGTCTTTTCGGATTCGGCCAGCAATTCAGGCAGTGAACCTTTCTGAATCTAGTTTAAACTCCTCGATTGTCTCCCTGACCATCGCAGAAGCGTTCTCATCTATGTCCTCGGAGGATTCAAACATTTCGCCTTCTTCCTCTGGAATCTGGACATTGTAATTAATTGGACTGATGCCCTTTCTTCCAGGATGATTCTTACCGCTTCTATTGTTTTGTCCACGAAGCTCGTCTGAGACTCTGTTTCTGTTTCATCCAGATAAGGAACAACCAGTATAGTGTTCTCCACTGGCAAGTTTCCCAGTGTTGTCTTTTCTTCTGCAGCCTCCGTTGTGATGCTTTGCTGACCTTTCTTACGGCGCACATTTTCAAGATTTTGGCCACATGTCGGACCATGGTCTTTAGTCTCTCAGTGAAGGAATGTGGGATGAGGCTCCCCTCCTTACATCCAGAGCTATCGGAGAGCATATTTACACTTTCTGTGATCTCTGTAATCACAGCGTCTGTCAGTTTTTTCACGCTTCGGGAACCGATGTCTGGGACACCGGTGGCCTCCGATCAGGCCAGAGAGATGTCCCCCAGACACCTGCGGACGTCGTCTTCTGATCCGTTGCTCTTCTGTGATCCGGCTGATCCAATGTCTCCCTCCTTCAGTTCCCTCTCTCTAAACACCCCATATATGTGGATGAATATCGTATTCACGATATCCACGCAAATGTTGGTAATGGATCCATCCTTGTCTTTCTTTATATCCCTTGGATTCAAAGTCCTGAAGGATCTGTGCTTCCTGTGTTCGTCTTTGTGTTCAAAGTGAATCTGAACTGAACCAGGTTGGATTTAGATCCACTAAACTATTTGAAATTCGTATTAATAATTAAATTGATAACCACAACAACTACTATTAATAGCTAGTAAGTTGAAGGATTGGGAGTTCTGCATAGATGAGGCTGGTATCACCCACAATATTAAATCACTTTTATTTAAAAACACATCATATATACACTCTGAAACTAATTGTTTTGGTTCAACAAAAATACCACAACCAGTATTAAAAAAACATTTCAGGAGGCAAAATAAAATCAGTTTAATTCATATCGAGGATATCGTTAAAAATAAATACAGAAACAGATAAAACTGAAGTTAAAATACACATTTATTAGCAGTTTCAATTGCACCATAAAGGTATAAAATGTAAACTTTGGTTAAGTTTGAGGGCAGTTCTACAATACTTTTAGCCATTATAATAAAATATAATAATATATTTTTTAATCTCTCTGTGCTGTCTGCAGTGTTGTACACTAAGAAGCCACTCGGTGTTTCTCCGGACGAGGCAGCGACTGAGATCGTGAAGACTCTGAACAACAAGAAGAAAGAGGTTGTAATCGCTCCCTCGCTCCCCAAGGTGGCGCTCTACGCCAGGTCCTTCTTCCCCAACGTCTTCTTCGCTGTGATGGCGGCGGGAGTGAACAACGCCGCCGCCTGCGAGGACATGTAGAGCTGCGGAGGGATGGAAACCACAGAGAAAGATGTTTTATTAGGAATAAACCAGCTGAGATCTTGTTTTAAAGTACACAATTACTGTAAAAAAAACTTCTAATAAAAGCAAGTAGACGCCTCGACTTTTATTAAAGGTTTTACGGTAGATGTAAAAAAAAAAGGTTATAATTGAATTAAATTTCATTAAAACAAACAAAAAGAGCATGAAAGTGTATCAATCACTGATAGTTTAGAGTGAATTAATGTGAAAGTGTTAACTGAATAATAAGCACAGCATTATAAAGCTGTTAAAATAAGAAGACAGAATATTTAAAAGGTAAATTAAAGCTTTAAATGTTCTTGCATGCAGGAAATATTAAAAATAACATGTTTTGTCCAGTTTTAGACTTTTATTCGGACTGCATTTGAACTTGAACGTGAATAAAATGTTTTTTTAATGATGTGTTCAGAGCAAAGTTTCTCCCTCAGAAAGAATTAATTTCTGTTTATTTTACAACATAAACTGATCACCTGAGTAACGTGACAGTTATAAAGACAATGTTTTATCTGTTCTTGTATTTGTGGACATTGAGAAAACAAATAAAAAGTGTTTATGTGTCATGAAAAAGTATTTTATTTTAACAGCAGCCCCACATACACAGAAAGATTATAACATTATACATCATTTACATAATGTAATTTGTCAAGCTCAGTTTAAACCCAAGTAGTTAATAGTTTAATATCCAACCTCATTTTTTGAACGTTTTTGCCCTAAATGAGGATCTTAATAAACAAACAAACAAACTGTCGCCTGTGTCAAAACAGTTAATGCAATAATGTTAACTTTCCTCACCATTAAAATCGTGTCTGTGATTAAAGTTAACGCTGTGTGCATTAAAGACACATTTATATATAATTTAAACAGTTTGTTTTTACCTGTAAAGGTCACAGAAAGGTCAAAACAAAGTTAATTATTGTCTTATATACATGTGGCGCCCCCTCGTGGTCAGTCTGTACAATAACAACTGCATGCAGCTCAGAGTTTGGGGTCTTTTTCTTCTATAAATGGCCTTTAAATTAGTGTCCAGACTGTGTGCGTTGACCCTCAGATTGAACGGTGGTCCGACCGCCTTCAGCTCGCTGAGCTCCGGCTGCAGTTTAACGGTGAAACACGACCGACAGAAGCAGCTGTTCACCGTCGCTCCGGGCAGCGGGGCTGGTAAGCGGAGGTGGCCGGGGATGACGCTCCGGTGCCCGGGGAGATCCTTTAGGAGAGCCCGGTGTCTATTAGCGGCCTACTCAAATCTAAACATAAAAATCAGATGTCTTTATTTTTATTGATTCACCGTTATAATATGTGACTGTTTTGTTGATTCTGCTCAAATATTGTTTGTGGTTGTCGTTCGGAAGGAGCAAACACACAACGAAACTCCGTTATAAAATCTGCGAATTTAATGTGCTATTGCTGAAAGGTAATCTTTGCACAGATTATATGAATGACATGTATTTAATACGATTTGTTTTTATCCATCTAACAGTTCGGCTGATATTTTATCAGTAAAAATGACACATTTTGGGACATTTCTGGTTAGATGGCCACAGCAGCACAGTCGTCGCAGGGAAGTGGCGGCCGCTTAAATAAAGGTGTTTATGGAGGGAGTTTGGTTTTCATAATCTCTATCAAATGGTTAATCCAGGGCTTGCATAAGGCTTTTTGTGTCCTTATACAGGATTTAACTTCCACACAATGTTAAGCAAAATACGTGAGAATTACTCCCTCATTATAAAACACAAATTAATAAAATTAATATTTGATTCATGTTGTTCATACTGTATATATAATGTCATATCCAGCTACCTCATGCACAACCATATTTATTCCAGCATCCTTCTGCACCATTACATCTTATTGTCTACAAATGTTATTGCTTATGTTTATGATCATAGTTTATGTTGTTGTTGAGTTTATATTTATGTTTATTCTGTGTTTGCACATTGACAGCGACATAAAACCGTCCAATCCCTTGAACATGTGCACATTCCCAGCCAATAAAAGTGATTCTGATCCTGAATAATTTCAAAATAAAGTTAATTTTCTGTGTTTTATTTGCTCATTTTGGGGGCCCTTTGTTGTCTGTGAGCAGCTGTTAAATCTTCCAGCTGGCTGCACATCTGTAAAGCACCACACCTGTCCTCCGTCCGCAGGGTCCCACCATGAGTGCGCGGTGCTGCGCTACAGATTCACCGGGGAGAAGGAGGTGGATCTGATGTCGACCTTTGTGCCGGAGACCTTCAGGGGTCAAGGTGTCGCTGCAGTGCTGTCGCAGGTCAGAGCTCCGTGTTTCAGGTATTTCAGCCATAAGGAACGTATAACATATATGAGGTGTTTTTAAGTATTTAATGTATGTTTACAGGCTGCTATGGACTTCCTGGTTGAAGAAAACCTCAAGGCTCACGTCTCCTGTTGGTATATAAAGAAATACATCGAGGACGACCCGCTACAGCGTTATAAAGAGCTCGTCATCAGTTGACTGCAGACG